CATTAAAAAAAAAAAAAATCTTAGAAAAGTCGGTTATATGCAGATGAGGAGGCACGTGAAGTTGGTGGTCCAGGGTGTATGTCTTCTTTCCTATCTTTCTGTGGTAGACACCTTTAGTGGATTCTGGGTGCCTAGGACTATCCCCTGCAGTTCTTTCAACAGATCTCTGCAAGTTAAGCTGCATAGCAATGTAGATGCTTTATGGCTGATGCATAGAACAAAGAACTAAGAAGGACCATCACATAATCTGATGGAATCTGGAGCTCACTAGGGGTGTGGGTTTGTAAATCTAAAGGAAAAAGCAAGAGAGGGGAAGGGGGAAAGAAAAGATTATTTAGCAGGTAACATCTTACTCATGTAGGTGCAGCTTTTCTTTAGAGTTTAGAATTCTGGTCAAAAGAAGTCATCTTCAAAAGGAACAGCCATGGTTACAGAATCCCCTGGGGAAACTTTAAAAAGAAGAGAGAACAAGAGAGGGAAACAGGCAGGGAAGAAACAGGGCTGGTCTATGTGCGAGACTCCAGAAGTCATCTCACTAAAACTTTCTAGATCATTGAAATTCACTACCAGGCTATGAATCAGTGCTTAAAATCAGCACTTTTTTGAGAACACTGCTTATGACAGAGGCCCTTTTACCTGTCACATTTGATAAGTGTCTCGAGCAAGTCGTGGTGGGAGTTTTAGTATCCCTGTGCTAGTCTAAGGAATTTGTATAGCTTTCCTTCCCAAGTGAAGGTTGTATATTCCTGAGAATTGGGGTGTAGGGGTATGCCAAAGAACATATCCGATAAGCCCAATAATGCCAACCATTGTGGGGACTTTTGTCTAATTTTTAGATTGATATCCTCCACATCAGCTGTCCAGGCATTTTAGGTGTTAATTCATTAATTCTCCTATAATCCACAGTGAATCTCTCCATTTACCATTTGGTTTTTGTACCGGCCAAACAGGGGAGTTATAATTGAAGCTTTGGGTAGGAGCTATTATTTGTTCTTTTAGGACGTCTTTGTTTGTGTTATTTCTGGTATACCTCCTTTAATAGGGTATTGAGCAGTAAATGAAGGAGGGGTGGGGGGGACGTAATTCTACAGGTTCTACCTTAACTTCAGCAAGGGTGCATATATATTTTTTAATTCTTTTAAGTTCTAAAAAGTCAGGGAAAATCTTCCTAATTTCTAGAATTCCTAAAATATTCGAGGGTGCAGGAGTATAGACTACATTTATTAGTATCTTCTTATCATATAATAGTAAGATAGTAGAGCCGGTATCGGCTAGTACTTCTCCTCCAATTCCTTGTATTTGTATCTTTTTGTTTCTTTGTTTGTTGGGAGGTGTGAGGGTCCATATGGATGCTTCGCTGCCTGTATCTAATAGCCTCTGGCTGGAATGGGTCCTCTAGGGCCCTGTACTGGGAGATTGATAAAAGGTCTTATTGTCTCCATCTGTTTCTCCATCCTCGGTTTTTGGAGGCAATAGGTCTTTGTCCTATTGGGCGAAGTTTGTTCTTAAGGTTGGGGCCGGGGCAGTTTTGTAATGGCCTAAAATGTAATTAATGCCTAGGCCGAAAAAAAGGTTTCCTAGGTCCTATATTCGGTTTTGAGAGTAATTTAGGTTTTCCAATTATTCTGTTCCAGGGTGTTCTTTGTATTGATCTGCATATTGGGAGTTGGGGTCCTAGGTTCCCAAATGGGCGTATGGCCCGTCTGATATTTTGGAAACGGCACTTTATGGGTCCTTGTTTTCTCTGGACAGGCAGGTTTATTACCTTGTCTGATTCCATTTCTAAGAATCCCTTAAATAATTCAATAAGGGCTGCTATGGTTTTTACTGAATGTACTGGTCCTGCTAGGCTTACTCTAAGGTGGAGTGGTGCTCCTTTCAGTATTATTTTGGCAAACTCAGGTATCATGGGTGCCGCTTGTGGGGTGTCTACCTCATTGTAGATAAAGTATAGGATGCCTAATTTCCTGGCCAGGGAAATTGCATCTTGGTAGGTTGCCTGTTTGCCTGCTGCTTCGAACTGTGCTAGGTCTAGGGTGGGGAAGCATATCTCCATGAGGATGTGATCCAGTCTAGGAGAGGTTTTGTTTCTCCTCTACCTACTTCTAGTACTTGTTCTAGGGCTTTGAATATGGTGGGGTTCTCAATGATATTCCTAATCCGTTTAATTTCTCTTTCATGTAACATGACTGTATCAGCTCCTTGTTCCCATAATCTGACTATGTATGAGGCATCCTTTGCTCCATTTTGGGCATATTGATTTCTTTTTTTTTTAATATACATTATTTTATTACAAATTTAAAAAAAGAAAAAAACAAAAAAAATTCAACATCCTAAAAAAAATTCTTTTTACTGGTAATACAAATTCCTATGAAGTACCAGAAGGGGAATTAGCTCAAATGGTAGAGCGCTCGCTTAGCATGCGAGAGGTAGCGGGATCGATGCCAGCATTCTCCAGTTAGCCGGGCGGTGGTGGCGCACGCCTTTAATCCCAGCACTTGGGAGGCAGAGGCAGGTGGATTTCTGAGTTCGAGGCCAGCCTGGTCTACAGAGTGAGTTCCAGGACAGCCAGAACTACACAGAGAAACCCTGTCTCGAAAAAAAAAAAAAAAAAAATTCCTATGAAGTTTTTTTTTTGCTACCATAAGAAATTAAAGAAACCATTAAATATTTAGAAACATTCAACATCAAAAGCTTTAAATCTAACTGCATATTGATTTCTTAGATCCGAAAGTTCGGTCTGTGTAAAGGGTCTTGACTCCTCTATTTCCATCCCATCTAAATTTGGGGGTGGAGGGAAATGATCACTTCCTCCTCCTCTCTGAGGGGTTTTGAGACCTAATTTGGGAGTCTTTTTATATATAGTTGTTATCGGGAGGGAAACTGCCTGTCCTTGGGGGGTGATCAGTCCTCCTCTGTATTTGGCAACGTTCATGGCTAGCCTTTTGCCCATCAATCATAATGACTGCCAGCACCTGGTCCTTTTTGGCTTGTTCCACTGCCATTTGGACTGTATTAGGGTCGGTCAGTGGATGCATTATATCAACAGGTTTCATACCAATTCTGCCCTTTACTGCCTGTGCTGCATCCTTCCATTTCAGCTTTTCTTCCGTTTGCAGCTCTCTGCCAGTAACGGGGAATATTTTGAGCCTTTTAAATTTGTTGACAAGCGTTTGCATGTTTAATATAAAAGATCCGCCAGTCAATACAGAAGCTTAATTTCCTTTTTTTCTAATGTACCACTGGAGATTACTGAGTCCCTTACTTTTCATTAACTCCTCTAATCTCTTGTAGGCTTGTCCCCCACTCTCCTACTTAGGAACTTTCTCATCAGTCAGTCAGCTGCCATGCCAGCCTGTCACAAACAGGTCATGGCAGGATTTTAGTATCCCTGCTGGGAGAGGAGTGACAGATCCTTCTCCACTCAGAGATCGATTGTATGCTGGATTGACCATGAGATTATCAGCTCCACAAAAGGGAAGAGAGTATGGCAGAGACAGAGGGTTGACATTCAGTTGCTCTTTAATGATACACAGCATGCAATATATTATCACCAATGCTAAGGCTATTGCCACAAGGAGATATTGCCACATTTCCTATGCACTGCCTCTAACAATATCGGCACAATGAACACAAATAATAAATTGTTAATTACCAAGAAATAAGCATAGCAATCAGTACATCATTCATTCATGGGTTATACGACCTGAGTCTTTTTGGTTATAGGCCCTGAGTTGGGGGGAAAGGGAGGGCTGCAGCTTCCAGTTGATTGAATTGCTAATTTGACCTCATAGGGGGCTTAACTGCGAAGTTGGTGCTTGACTGAGAAAGTGAAGGTGTCAGTCTCTTGATTATCTCTTTACTAATCGGGTGTTGAGGAGACTTTTTGAAAGATCATGTTCAGGCAGTCATGGCTACCAGTGTGTGATTGGATTTTTACGTTTGATTTGGCATCACTGCTGGCGTGCATAACAGATAACCATTCCTGTCTGGTTATCGCCGGGCTCTGACTACATTACAGCTGGTTATCACACTTATTCAAAACAACTTATTTTTGTGCACAAATATGTGGTTTCAAAACAACTTCTGGTTATCACAGCACTTCAAAACAGCTTCACTTCAAAACTTGTTTTTTTTCCTATTACAAAATGGAGTCGATCCTGTTAAGGGCCTGCTCTTTACAATAAGCATAGATGCAAGTATGCCAGCATTTTTCGTACAAGCCTGCCTCCTTGTGTGAATTTCAGTGTGTTCCATTCCTCCATTGTTTTCCACCATGATTTCTGTAAGGCTTTGACATGCCAATCAAAGTCATTGTGTGTCCACACTCCTTCCATCCTCTGGCGGCCCTGCCATCCATGTATGGTTGGTCCATCCCTGATGTAGGGAAAGACATTTTGTTCTTTTTTTAAAGTGATTCACATGTGACCATATTCCAAGCTTATGTCACTTACTGTAGTTCCATCATGCTTGCCTTCGTGCTCCTGCTTCTTTGTCTTGAGCCTCTGTCTCAAATTCCTCACATAGACCACATCTACGGTTTTCACATGCATTTTCTTTGTTTGTTTTTTATTTATCTTACACAATTAAATGCTTCATTCCTTTTGCTTTTCTGCCAGTCTTTGATCCCTCGTTGCTTTACTTTCTTCTGCTCATCTATCCCAGACCATAAAGTTAACTTAAACGTTTCCTGCCATCGTATTTAACTACTATTTGCCTCCAGTTGCTGCACTGGCCCTAGATAACTATTTCATTTCCAAAACTCCCAATTGTACAGTTTGAGGATTAAACATCATTAAAATAATTTGTTCTCCAAAATTATTGTAGCAAGATACAAAATATACCTTCAGAAAAAAATAATCAAATTATATATCAATTAAAATAAGAAAAGGATTCTTACTGTCATAATTGTATTGCAACTCATGCTGATTTCAAATGTGTGCATGTGATCTGTGTCTTTCCCTGAGCCCTCCAGAGTTCATTCATGCTTTCTCTTTTAGTTTATTGAAGCCGAAATGTGATGGATGGATGCGTGGAACCTCATCATCCTTTAAAAAGTGCCCAGACTCTCCAAACAGTGGGCAAAACCAGAGGGAGATGAAAACCGTTGAGTTTCAGTCACATGTGGAGAATGGCATCCAACGGACATGTCAACAGAATGATACATACAGACCACAGAGAGGTGAGTGTAGTGTCTGCAGTAGCATAAAGGGAAGTTGCTAAGGACGGTGGAAGATGGCTGGTGCATGCAAGCCAGTGAACAACAGATGATTTCCACTATCCGGAGCCGCAGTTAGGTTTCAGAAAAACACATGCCTGGAAAGCTGTGGGTGGCCCAGCTACTAGATTCTCAAATCACAACTACAATTATATCTCTCAGAGTACTGATATCAGAAGCTGTCCAGTTTGGCCCTCCTTTTAAAAGCTGAATTGAGCAGTAAGTGTGGTTGTAGATACCAGATGATTTTTCTCAAAGTGAGTAATAAAATAAAGAGTTGAACATAAATCTCTCCTGGAAAAGTAAGACCTCATAATTGAATGATAATGTAGGGAATGTAGAAGAGGGGTCATGAGCAACATTGTAACTAAAACCCAATCTCCCAAGTCTCAACAAATAGTGCCTAGCACTCTTTGAAGTGCTGATAATACTTCCTGTTTTATATGTAGGTTTGAAAAGGAAATCAACTACAAGTAACTGAAATAATACTGAAAGAGATGTATGTTTGCCATTTGGTCTTGGAGTGACTCATGTGCAGTCTATTCCAACAGCCTTAAGGACTGACTTGAAAGGATGAGCCTCCTGTATAGGAAACAAGTTACCTCTGCTCACACCTTCCTCAGGACTAGTATCCTGATTTCTTTTTACATGCTCTCTTCTACCACACAAGCTCTTTGGCTAATGTTAAGCAACCTACAATTTATAATCTCTACAACTCTCACATTAGCCTATTTATTTGTGAAAATTTTTATATGCACCTTTCCTTGCTTTTGCCAACTGCTGCCAGCAGTTGTGATCTGGGGGTAATAGCCTGTGAGTATGGTGCTTTGGGTAGGTAATAGCCTCCATAGACTCATGTGTTTTAATGTTTGGCTGTGAGGAATGGCACTGTTAGGAGGTGTGGCTCTGTTGGAGTAGGTGTAGACTTGTTGGAAGAAAGTGTGTCACTTTGGAGGAAGGCTTTGAGGTCTCATATATGTTCAAGTCTGGCCAATGTGACACAGTCTCTTCTGCTGCCTGTGGATCAGATGCATTGGTCCTGTTCCAATACGTGTCTGCCTGAAGGCTGCCATGCTTCCTCCCATGTTGGTGATGCAATGAATCTCTGAAACTATAAGCCAGTCCCAATTAAATGTTTTCTTGTATAAGAGTTGCTTTGGTTATGATGTCCCTATATAGCAATGAAATCCAAGACAGAAGTTGGTACCAGGGAATGGAGTATTGCTGTGATAGACCTAACCATGTTTTGTTTGGAGGAATGTGGGTTTGGGGACTTTGGAAAAGGAAAACAGTTAGACTCTTTAAACGTTGCTTAATGGGCCATACAAGAATATGAAAGACAGTGATGCTGAGGGTGATTTAAACTGTGTGACCCTGGCGCAAGAGCTTTCAGAGGAGAAGAATTTTAGAATGGTTTTTGTTTTTTGGTTTTTGGTTTTTTTTTTTTTTTTTTTGGCTTTTTTTCAAGACAAGGTTTCTCTGTGTATCTCTGGCTGTCCTGGAACTCACTCTGTAGACCAAGCTGGCCTCGAATTCAGAAATCCACCTGCCTCTGCCTCCCAAGTGCTGGGATTAAAGGAAAAATTAAAGGCTGCCCGGCAGAATTTTAGAAATGTTGCCTAGAGATATTCTTGTGATGTTTTGCTGAAGAATGTGGCTGCATTTGCCCTTATCTGAAGATTCTACCTGAGGCTAAGGTGAAGAAATTGAGATAATTATATTGGCAAAGGAAATCTCAAAACAGGACTCTGTCCTGTGGTTTACTCTTAGGAAGAGTGTGCTTTACAAACTGAGCAAGAAAAATATAAAATGTATGGTTCAAGGATTAAAGAGGTATCAGGAAATAGAGTAGAGCTAAATCCTGTGTTCAAGGAAATAAACAGATTAAAGATATTAAATGGAATTAAGGGAGTAATGGCCTCAGGGGAAGATCCCACTGAACTAAGCTTCCATTGTGTGAAAAGGAATTAAAGAAAACTTAGGTCTAGGCATGGTGGTTTACATCATTAACTCCAACATTTGGGAGACAAAGTCTTGGAACTCTCTTGAGTTCAAGATCAGTCTACAGAGCAAGTTCCAAGACAGCTGAACTTAGGCAGTAAAGGAAATCATCCGAAACAGAAAGCTAGTGAAGATATAATAGAATAAGAAGGCCATGTTCCAGCCACAGCAAGCAGAACTTGGTAGCTTCGCCAACATGGCTCTGGCTTTAGAGTTTAGAATAGAAGAAAGGGAATATAGAATTTCCCTTCCTTACTAAAGAAAGTCACTGAGGCCAGATTTTGGCAGAAGTGTCCTTGCATAGAGGCCTAGAAAGAAATGGGTTATGAAATATTCTTCTGTGACTAAGGGAAGTCACTGAGGCCAGAGCATGTGGCAGGGGTAAAGCCTGAATTTCCTTGGAGACCCCAAAATGTTGATGTCAGAGTCGTAGGATACTTGGCAAGAAAAGCTGCTAACAGGGAATGGAACCAACCCAAGAAAAAGAAGTGTGTTGCAGTCAACCAAGCTGAAAGGAGTTGGAGATCTGAAGAGCATTTTCACGTCAGACATGGAGATGCAGAGTTTGGAGTTTACCCAGCTGGTTTAATGGTAATCTATATCCTGTACCACTGTGTGTTGGAAGTATGTAATCTAGTTTTGATTTTGATATTATAAAGTGTGATGGTTTGTATATGCTTGGTTCAGGGAGTGGTACTACTAGAAGGTATGACCCTGTTGGAGTAGGTGTGGCCTTGTTGGAGTTGGTGTGTCATTTTGAGTGTGGGCTCTAATACCCTAGTCCTAGCTGCCTGGAAGTGAGTATCCTGCTAACAGTCTTCAGATGAAGATGTAGAAATCTCAGCTTCTGCACCATGCCTGCCTGGATGCTCTGAACCTCTGAACCTGTAAGCCAGCCCCAATTAAATATTCTTATAAGATTTGCCTTGGTCATGGTGTCTGTTCACAGTAGTAAAACTCTAAGATATATAGGATTATAGTTAAGAGATTGTATAAATCTCAGAAGAGACTTTGAGCATTGGACTTTTGAACACTATTGAGACTGATAGATTATGGGGACTTTGAAGTTAGACTAAATGCATTTTGCATTATCTTATGGCTATGAGGGCCAGGTAGTGCAATGTGGTAGTTTGAATAGGTATGGCCTCTATAGACTCAAGTATTTGAATGCTTGGTAATTGGGAATGGCACTATTAGGAGGTATGACCTTTTCTGAGTAAGTGTGGCCTTGTTGAAGGAAATGTGTCACTCTGGAGGCCCTGGTCTCATATATGCTCGTCTGGCCAGTGTAACATAGTCTTCTTCTGCTGCCTATGGATCAAGTGTAGAACTCTAAGCTCCTCTAGCCCATGTCTGCATACATGCTTCCATGCTTCTCACCGTGATGATAATGGACTGAACTTCTCAAACTATAAGCCAGCCCCAATTAAATGTTATCCTTTATGAGAGTTGCTGTGGTCAAGATCTCTCTTCACAACAGTAAAACCCAAACTATGACAACCAGTCATCTAGAAATTGCTTTATCCCCTTCCAAGTAACTGAGAGATGATAATTTTTCCAAACTTCAAAAAGGAAAATGCTACCATTTTTCTTTGACATACAGCAAATACTCTACATGGCTCTACTGAAGACGGTGTTAAAGCTTCATATTAATCATTGCTACCTAAGACAAAGATGAAATTGAGAAGACTTAGAGTCTGACCTAGCCTCTGCTTTCTGTAGCAATGGTCTTTCAGCTGTGGAAACCCTTACTTTGGTCCTCCGTATTCATGCCACTGCACTTCAGAGAGGAGAACCGGTCAGAACTGCTGTGGTGTTACTCTGTTTGGCTTAACATAATCTTCTGTTTACTTGTCAACACACGTATGTTGTGTAACAACACTGAAATGAAATGGTGAGATAAAATCCCACATAGTTGACTTGTTTCAGTGTTAGAGAGGAGCTCCACAAGATGCTTGTCAGGCACACTCAGGACAGCATAGCTGTGCTGGAGGCAAACCTCTCCCTGTCCCAGCAAAAGAAGCCAGAGCCTGGAAACAGCTGGTATCCCTACCCAAAAAAATCAATTTCTAATTTGAAACAAAATCATTTTTGACTACCAGGAGTTCAGAAGGCATTACTTGTGCTGTGTTGTCTGCTGGCATTCAGCACTTTGGTTGTGTACAGTGAATCCTGGCAGTGCTGCTGGACAATCGATCTTACTGGAGGGAAGCTGTTCCCTATCTGCAGTTTCAGGAGCACTGTCATTTGCCATCTTATTTTCCAGCCTATCCCCTCACTCCTCTTGTTCCTTTGTCTTTAGAGAGCGGGAGGATATACTGTGATAGTGAAAATAATATCAAAATCCTCATCTGTTTAAAACTTTGAATATTTTAGCATTTTAAGATAGTCAGAGGAACCATGAAGTTATTCTTCTACTCATGGAGAAGATTACCTAGTATTTTTCTCTTCTTTTATGATCTGCCTGATTACTGAAGACATAAACTTGCCCCCTTGAGCCTCTCGGCCAGTGCAGAGCTGGTGTGGGCAGACTAGAGAGAGGACAGGGTTATTGCTGTGCCCTTTGCTACAGCACCCAGCCCAATGGGTGAATTAACTTTCCCAAGTATGCACTGTGGATCTGGATGCCCTGGTTATTACAGTGCCAGTGACCCAGCACTAACTGCCCAAGCTACACCGATTGGTTGGCCCCTCCTTAATTGCTTTCCTCTCATTAGCATGGCAGAATCTTTTGGAATACATCTCTGTTTTATATCCATTGTTTCTTTTGTTGTTCTTTAATCATGAAGTGCTATACAGGATATTTACTGCAAGATCATTAATCTCTATTACCATCTCTCACTCCTTTACCTCTCTTGTTTACTTCACCATTCTGCCAACTTTATTGACACTAAACATAAAAGAGACAGACTCTTGACTCAATGAACAGCCTTATGATAACAAGAATAGCTATGTCATTATCA